CTGACGACGGCTAATAAGCCAGAAATGGCCATTCCAGTCTCCCTTGTCTTTGTCGGTAATACTATTCTGCCTATATATCATGCGCCGCTGTGCGGCTGCTGGTTGGGCTCGAGAGAGAGTCCATAAGGCACAACGGAACGAGTGAGTTCCGTATGAACGATCGGTGAGCGCCCCCTAACATTATATATACATATACGTACGTTGGATAACCCTCTTCGTCTTGCCCGGCAAGAAGATGCGCTCCAGGCTGCTTGCATGATTCTCTGCAGGGTTGTGAAGGAGTGGCCTCTGTGCGCTCTCAAGAGGATGTGGACGTCAGCGCTCAGACGCCCAGGCGTCAGTGCTCATGTGGATCATACTCTCTTCATCCGGACAACTGGTGCCGACGCCTATCCGCCGTCCTACCGGCCCTAAAGCACGCCGATCTATTCAAGTAGTTGATATGTAGTAGGAAGACAACAGCAGATGCTTTATTTTTTCGAATATAGTAGTGCCATCTGTTAGACACCCAGATTGGCTTTGAGTAAAGGCACAGTCGGTAACGTTTCATTTACTTGTCTGGTCGACTCCGGTGCAGGCCCTTCAGTAGTTAAGCAACCGCCCCTCAAAGCCTTTCAGAATAAAACTAGGTATTGAGGAAAACCTCACTGGTCCATCTACATGGCCACTGGTCCCGGGCTTCAGCACGACGTTTTGATTGGCCTTTCATTACTGCTGAATGGCCACCTGTTTTCGAATTTCTTCCTTGTGTCTCCGGACATTAATTGGAATTGCATCTCAGGTGTTAATTTCCTGAAGAGGTTCCGATGCGTTCCTTTTTGCCAAACAATTATCAAACAAGAAGCCCAACGCCTCGAACCACTGAGCCACGGGCTTGTTGTGATGTCGGTTGCGACGAGGTATATACAATATTAAAACGGCGCTAACCGATCAGGTTGCGAGATCGAACCACAAGTGTTCCAGACTTTGGGGTTGGGTATGACTGGATGACGACGGCTAATTTCCAGAGACCCGGGGCTATGGACGACCGCAAATCTAATGCTATCAGAACACTGCAGGAAGATGGCCCATAAGGCAACTAGTACATTACACTGGATCAGACATGCAATTTAAATATTTTCCCCCGAACTCTTCGAAAGACTTGTCCGTTTCTTCATAAGAACCCACCTGCAGTATGGAATGCCAGCTGCTCCACCATGAATGAGGAAGGATACTGACCTACTCGAACAAGTGAAACGCAGCGCAACGAAGATGGTCAATGGGGGAAGTAGGAGTAAGATTGAGGAGCGAGTCAGTTCTCGGAGGAAAAGAATTTGCTGAATTCTCTCGGCTCCATTTATTTTGACCGAGTTGGTGATCATGTGGTTGGAACGATGAGGGTTTACGTAAAAATAAGGGACCTTTTTATACGCTCTATGGGAGTAAGCTCTTGACAAAGGAAGAAGATCGCCTTTTCCGGATACGCAGATACATGGTCTCTGTGAGAAAGGATTGAGTCACCTCGGTTGATGAAAACAACTTAAATGAAACGGGCGGATTTTTGCTAAGGAAAGATAGGCGGTTGGCATCAGCTCCTTTTTATCTGAGTCCACACGAGTACAGAAATCAACCGCAACATCAACTGGTTATGCAGATCGAGGGATATTTTTCAGCAAGAAGTTAAAAGCTCATTTAGTCTATCGCTTGGTTCACTGGCGATTAGGTTGGCGAGTGAGTCATGACGTTGAATTCTTGAGAGGGAACATCGAAG